TTGCCTAGGGAGGTTGTGGAATCTCCATCTGTGGGGATATTTAAGAGTAGGTTAGATAAATGTCTATCAGGGACGGTCTAGACAGTATTTGGTTCTGCCATGCGGGCAGGGGACTGGACTCGATGACCTCTCGAGGTCCCTTCCAGTCCTAGAATCTATAAATCTATGTAGCTATACTTGTCGCTAAACATATAGAATGTATTGTGCGGATATACTTCTTGCAGGATGAAGAACTCACGGTATTAAAAAATAATCTCCCAAACCTGAATGCCAATGAATTTTAAATATAGCTGTGTGTATTTCTAAATTAGATATTTTGGGCCTGATACTCCATTGCCTTGCACATTGTGTAGTCATTCAGACCTATGCACGGTGGATGTAAAACTAGTGTAAATAATTGGAGAGTTCCGACTTGGTAATGTTTTACACTGGTGTTAGTGACTAAATGAGATAATGGAAAATCAGGCCCATTAAGTTTTAACATGAGCAACAATTAACATGAAACACTTTGATTCTTTGGGCAATGTTGCAAATTTTTAAGACTATTTATTTATTTTGCATTATTTACTTCCTTGTCATAACCTGACCTATATATAGGATATAATGATAGCACTAAAATGGATGTGTGGATTGAAGGTGTTTTGTCTGTTGGATGACCAGCTAATTTTACAGCAACAAAGTTAAGTTACTGTAGGATATAGACATAAATATTGACTATTCTTTTAATTTCTTGGATCCAGATCATACCCTGGAGTTTTCTGCTACCATCTCTTCAAATGGGAGGAAATTTGAGGGGGGGCAAATGGAAGAGAAAGTGTGAAGCTTCCCCAAAACTCATGAATCTTTGGGAGCTTCAGGGAAGGGTAACCCCAGATCAACAGAGACAAAGATGTCTCCTATATCTTTGCTTGTACAGGGAAACCAGCTAGCTCAGCCACCCTGTGGTTAGCAGCTGCCAAGGAAATCTTATCTAAATATTATGATTATTGTATCAGATAATTCTTTGGCCAATACTTGCAATACAACTGTGGAGTTATTTTTGTGTTATGCAAAATAAAATACCATTAATGCCATTCACATTGTAGCTCTGTAGTCTTGGCACAAATGAAAAAACTTATATGGAACTGGGAACATGCTGATAGTCCCAAAGCTTGTTAGATATAAATGGCAAGTTAATAGTTAAAAATGTCATCTGATGAACTGATTAAAGCTGAATGCAAATAATGTCATTAAAAATTCCAGTCTCAGTAAAATTGAAGGGTGAGCACAATTGTTTCCTGTTTGCTCATTTTGTTCTCAGAATATGATGATAGCTACATGTTCAATAATAGTAGAAAGTGGCACTGATGACTAATATGGTTATTGAGAAGCTTTAATTTCCTGAAGGCAAACATTGTTACCTTCCACTTTCATATCCATAAATGAGGAGAAACCAAGGTTGCTGGGGATGCAGTGAGTGAAGATGTTATAAAGCTAATGCAATGACATAGCAAATGATAAAATGACTCACAATAAAGGCTTCAGTCTTTCAGTTTCAGATGCTGCGATATGCATCAGTTAGTTCTGTGTTGGGTATTATTATTGCTTCTCAGCATCGATACTATCTGTGTCATCAGAGCCATTAAGAGTCTCACCTGCAACAGGAGTGGCATAAATTTGGCCCATTTTCTCTTCTTCCTTGTTTGTTACCACTTCTGTGTTGACATGGACCAGACTAGCTGCTCTGTTTTTCCCCTCTCAGTTCATGGGGGGGTGTCTCTGGGCTACTGCAGTGGTGACCAACTGGCTGAGTCCTCCTCCCTCCACTGCTTCCTGACATTCCTGGGCCTTACACCCTGCGTAGCCATTTACCACCACATCAACAACATGTTCATGACTACAGAAGGAGTAAGTCAACAGAGAATCAGGACTGCAATCTGCAAGACTGATGTACTGATGTAAATGGAGCTATGTTGATTTTCATTCCCGACGAACTGGCGAGTGGTCTGTAGCAGTCCAGGTGGCAGATTTATAGCACTACTGCAATAGGGGTTCAAATGCAAAGTGTTTGAGCAGTGCCAGCCGGAGCAGGAATAGCATTGTTTTCACCAAAAATTACAGTACATAACCAATGGCATTTTATTACCACAAGTAGGTGAATAATGGGTAGATTTAGTTGGGCCATAACCTCTTTCTGTGTCAGAGTTGTTAAATAATGAATCAGTAGTTGGAGAAGGCCAGTTTCTTACAGTTGGAGCCTAGAAGGGCTACAGCTCCTTGGATCTAATAATTTCTTCTCTATAGCTTTTTTCTAATAGTATATTTATTTTGGGTAGTACCTCTAATTGCTGCCAGGGCTTACCAGACCTCCAGTCCTGCTTGATCCACAATAGGACTATCAGTGCTCTTCAAAGAATGGTTTGCTTACTTATTTGCCAGAACTGCTTCATCAGAGAGTTGCTGTAGAACCCTCAGTCCTAGAGGTAGTTGAAGGAACTTTGTGGAAGGGAATGGGTAGGGTTAGGAAGCTTGGACTCTCTATGCTTTATCTCTTCTATGGACACATTTGGCCAGATTCTGCACTGTCTTGCACTTTATGTCATTATTTACACCTCTGCAAAACAGATGTAAAGACTACCAAATGAGAATGGTATCATTTTATACTTAACTGCACAAGTGAAAATAATGACAGCAAAAGCAGCAGAGAATCATCCTAGAGAGGTCTTCAGTTTGCTAAATTGACACATTAGCATTATTAAATTCAAT